ACAAGAACCCTCAGAAAACATGTAAGTTTGGATGCAGCCAATGCTGAAAAACCAACCAACATAACAGGAACGGTTCACCCAAAAAATGAAAATTCTTGCATTTATTTACTCAGCAAACCTGCATGCCTTGTTCTTTTCCATATAAGCAAAAAAGTACAGTGACGTATATGTTCAACCCCCAAGAGGACGTAAAGAACCATAAACGTGTCTTAACAAGAGCGTCCAGGAGGTTAGCAAAACTAAGCAAAAAGACAATAGGCCGTTTTTTAATGAATGTCAAAGGAGAAGAGGCTTCACGCTGTATAAACCGCTTTTGTGAGGAAACAACTTATCACTTAATGAATTGACAACATGTTGGCTAATCTTCAACATGTTTGCCATTAAACATTCATTTCAGATTCATCTATATTTGAGGTTTACACTGAACAAAAAAAAAATTGTTTTATAAGAGAAATCACTGACAATTTTGCGTCAGGTAGGATTCAGTGTACGGCATGTCTCATTCATTTCTATGGTATAAACAAACGGCGATCAACTAACATACAACTCTGCCGGCAATTCAATGACGTCAAAGGGTATTATGTGACTGGTTATCAAGGCACATCTGATCCAAGTTGACAGTTGCTCTTTCTCCAATGGTAGAGCTGCAGAGATTGGAATCTCCACAAAATAAGAAGAGCATGACATTTTTAAATTAAGTCTGCTTCATTTTAAGGCAGCTCCAAGGCCAATTGTTTCTTTAGTTGTAAAAATAACAACAACCTACTATAACTACTCTACTAAACATCTTTCTTGTTCCTGGAAGGAAATTAAGTCATAAGTGTCTGAAATAACATGGGGATGAGTAAGTGACATGTTTTTACATATTTGTGTGAATTACAGTATTGTATTTACCAGAGGTGTGGACTCGAGTCACATGACTCGAGACTTGACTCGGACTCGAGTCCCAAATTTGATGACTTGCGACTCGACTCGACATAATTAAAGAAGACTTGAGACTCGACTTAGACTTTGACAGCAATGACTCGAGACTTGACTTGGACTTGAGCCCTGTGACTCGGAAAGACTTTATGATCAGATCAGAGTCGTTATTACTCTAGACGCATCCCTGCTTGCTTGCGCTTGACTGGCAAAAAGCCAGAGACTGCGTTCAGGGAGCGGTGGATATACAGTAAATGTAATGGAAAATTAATGGAGTAATAGCATAACTTACGACAAAAGAACAGAGATTAAAAAAAACAAAAAACAAATGACATGATTCGTCTAGTAGCGATCTCCGCTCGTGAAAAGCGCTGCCCTGTCCGTT